AAGAGAGTGACACGGGCATGCACATACGCAGTGAGACTCACGCACGCACGCACGCACGCATGTAGACGTAAACGCATGCACACCCACGTACACGCATGCACACCCACGTACACTGATGCACACCCACATACACGGATGCACACCCACGTACATGCATGCACACCCACGTACAGGGATGCACACCCACGTACAGGGATGCACAACCACGTACACGGATGCACACCCACGTACAGGGATGCACATCCACGTACACGGATGCACACCCACGTAAACGCATGTACACCCATGTACACAGATGCACACCCACGTACACGCATGCAGAGAGAGAGAGAGAGAGAGAGAGCGAGATGCGCATGAATGCATATCTACATAAACACGCTTGCACATACATGCACATATACGCATAAACATGCATGCACACACACGTACACGCACATAATTTGGCACTCGCACGCACGTACGCACACGAACGCATGCATACACATGCACACGCACACACACAGCATTTGTTCCTACACCTATTTAAAAGATTTCTCAATAAAATCACGTTTTATATGTAATAATTTATTACTGATTAGGCTATAGTTGATGTATAGTGAGGTGCCAGGTGTGTGTGTGTGTGTGTGTGTGCGTGCGTGCGTGCGTGTGCGCGCGCGCGCGTGCGTGTGTGTGTGTGTACCTGGACAGGTGATGAGTTTAGGTGTGCTGGGATCACCTAAAGTCCTAAACAGGTGATAAACAGGTGGGAACAGGTATGCTGTCATGTTGTATGTGTTTAGCTAACCATGTGATTGTTGTGCAGGGGCTGGCGAGTGAAAGTGAGTGCAGAACCAGCATCGCAAAACTCGGGCACTTGTAACGTCGCTTCCTTTCAAGCCCGAATTCTCAGGTATGCATAGAGTCGAACCTGTACGCATGGCACGTACGTCACGTGTGTGTGTGTGTATGTCATTCATAACTCACTCGAGGAAACCGCCAAACGTCTCCTTTAAGCTTGGGACACACTAGGTGACTTTTCAGGCGACCAAGTGGACACACTATAGGCGAATATCAGCGCGATTCATCGGCGTTTTTTCTCCCGCTTACCTAGATTGATAGTCACATGATTGAAAATGGCACCGTTTGATTGGCTGATGAATTGTACATTGGGGCGACTCATTCGCCGACCGGGACACACTAGCCGAAGGTAGTATCGCGACTGAAATAATCGCCTGATTTTGTCAAACATCGAAAATCGGCGGCGACTGACTGAACACACTAGGCGCCTAGTGTGTACGGGGCTTTATGGACAGGTGTTCGTTCTATAGACGTGACTATCAACAGGTCTCACTGTACTACGCTAATGGCTTCTTTGTTGCCGTAACAACGACATGTGCTTCTTCAGCTGACATCCGTGATATGAAGCTCTTTGCTCTGCTTCGTTAGGTGCTCTTTGCTCTCGCAATCGATATTAAAATTTCGTCTAAAGCGTATTCCCAATGGGCTTGGCGCATCGCACCCTGCTTCTCTGTCTTGCACTCGTTATTGTCATACTGTAAATAAGTGCAGTCGTAGTTAACAGTCGCGCCCGCGCTTTGCGTCGTGAGCATACCAAGTGTCGAGCCACGAAACCTGCATGTAGTGCGTGACCAAGCCATGCGCTAGAGTGAACCCAACCTATGCTTTCCCCCCGTGCCTTGGTATTCGGCTGAGCAGTGGAAAATTCACTACCCACGATATTATCAGGAGTCTATCAATATTGATAGACTCCTGACATTATAGATACTCGCCTACGCAACGTCATAACACCCCATGGTGGATATTTGATAATGATGACAGGTTTGCGGATCATTTATACGGATGTGTGTCATGCGCGCGTGGGGACTTGTTAATCATCTATGTTTGTCCTCCTATGTTGGTGCAGCGGTCATACTTAGATGTTTATCTCACGTGCAGGTGGACGAAGCTGCACAGCATTGTCACACCTGTGCATCGTTAACACCTGCGTTTATCTCGTCGCGCGCAGGTGGACGAAGCTGCACAGCATTGTCACACCTGTGCATCGTTAACACCTGCGTTTATCTCGTCGCGCGCAGGTGGACGAAGCTGCACAGCATTGTCACACCTGTGCATCGTTAACACCTGCGTTTATCTCGTCGCGCGCAGGTGGACGAAGCTGCACAGCATTGTCACACCTGTGCATCGTTAACACCTGCGTTTATCTCGTCGCGCGCAGGTGGACG